TTGTATGTCAAGAACCTGCTATGAGTTGAGTGAAACCTCCCACCGATAGCCAAATGAGGATTTGTCACTGCCCTTCTCCCTTCCTCCTCCAGTTGCCCCTGTGTCCTCTTCCTCCTCCTCAGAATCCCCCACGTATGAATCACATGTAGTGTCTTCCCTTACACCTATGCCCGGGTGGTAAACTTCTCATCACATCGGGTAGCAAAAGCCCTCTGGCCCTTTTCTCTTTCAGCTCATGAATCAGTTAATCTCTTGAAACCCTCCTTGCGTTCACTGCCGTTAGGGGTTTCTCCTTGGCTATCTCCCTAGGAGGAAGGATTGGCGTAGTCGCCCTTGGGCCTCCAATCGATGAGTGGTCGTAAGTGGGTAGGCACACCCCTGAATCTCCTCGTAGGCTCCACCTTCAGCTATGTCCTCTACAAGCTTTGCAGTTCCATGCACTCTTCACTAAACCCCTATGGAAGCGACGACCACTGATGCCTGGCTCAAGTGAGGCTGTCAAACCCTTTCATAAACAATCCCCTCCAACAACCATCCCATACTGGAATCCCTCGCAATCTTCCTGACAATAGTCAAAGTGCTCCTCGTATTACTCTGCACACTGTGCCTCCTGCACTAGAGCCACCAACTGCTCATAGTGTGTACCTTCGCTGGACACCCTGAATCTATGAAGTAGGAGGTCTTTGAACTCCTCCCAACCCTAACGTTTGTCTCCCTTCAACCATTGAAAACCAGCCAATGCCTTCCCTTCCAAACATACCGAAATCGCATAACTTCTCACTTTCTTCGGGACACCATTCCACTAGCCAAAAATAGCGCTCCACCCTGTAGATCCATCCGTAAAGCATCCTTCCCTTCAAAAATAGGAATCTTCAACTTCCTCATCGGTTGTCAGCTCGGTAGGAAGTTTCTTCCATCTCCCATGTCCCTGAGTAAATTCCCTCCCCTTGTGGTCTTTCCCCCCTCTCCACTGGGTAAGGATTTTGAAACCCCCTTCGAATGGTGCGTTCTCGTTGCTTTCTATAAGCCCATGCCATAATCTTCCCTGCTTCCTCCACCTGCTCTCAACGTTGGCACGATTTCCTTCCTGAAACCCCCCCATCTGAGTCGGCCCACCCCTTCACGTGTGCCGTGGGGGCCACCGAGGGCCCATGTATGGCCGCCCCTTGACCACCGGTCAATTCCCCAAGGGCCACCTACTCCAGACCCTTCTCCTCCTATCCCTTGGCCCATTGCAACTTGCATGCTATCTTCACTCTATTACCCTTAATTAGGTTAGGGTTTTTGGTTCGTCATCGGAGATTTGCCCTTTTCCTTTAGGGTTTGATGAAACAAACTTGAGCTTCTTAGCAATTTCCGCGATCATCTCTTCCATTCCCCCAAAATCTCTCCTCTAGGAGAAAATTTTTCCTCCCATCGACGGAAAGTTTCTCCACCCACCTCCTCTTTCCAATTGCCCCATCTCTCCCTCCAAAAACTTCCACTTTCTTAACGCCATGCCGTCTAGGATCAAGACTCTGAAATACCGAACTTGGTACGTCTTAGGTTTCACAAATTAAGCGGTTTTGGGCCCTAATTTCCCTTCAAAAGAGTGAAATTTCTACACCAAAACCAAATGAGAAAACAATCACAAAAGGGTAGAGAAGAAAAATGAGAACCTTTGCATTAGCAAGCAAAGAGAAAACAAGATAAGTTTGTCCACTTCGAGAAGAACAAGATCTCCCACATGAAAATCCTAGAAAAGCACAAGAGAAGACTAGAGGAAGAAAACTAGAAAGAGAATACACTTTTCATAATGCCCAAAACTAAACCCTAATGGCTCCCTTCATACCCTTTCAAAAAATATCCTCCCATCCCCAAAATACCCCCACTTAAGTGGGGGTCCCTCTTTGGTCCAGCCGCACTCCCGCCCCCCTCTTCCGCCTGTAGACCCGCACGGGTCCTGGCGGGATCGATAAACCCGGTCCAACAAATTGTTTATCCGCCATTGCATCTTCCGAAGCTTCACAATGTTTGTGATTATGTTCAATGAGTGTCTACGCCAAGCACGTCTTTTTTTTTTGGCATATAAATATTCCCTATATCGAGAGTGAGCTACTTCAATTTCAGGGATATATTTGAATTTGCCCAATTCTTTTATCTTAAACTATGTAATAAACATCTTTTCATGCCTCCATTCCTGGCAAGTCATCCCCAAGTACCACTATATCATCCATGTAGACTAGTTGAGCAGTAAATACCCCTGAGGTAAATTTTTTTGATAAACATATGTGAGCACCCTAACTTTGTTTGTACTCATTATTTTCGTTATTCTCGAAAACCCCCAAACCAAGACTTGCAGCACAATTTTAAGCCATAAAGTACCTTTTTTTAGCTTACACGTTTTGTTCTTTTCTGACTCAACTAATTGGATGGACCTTAATATAGATTTCTTCATCAAAATCACCGCACCAAACATTTTTTACATCAAACTGCAACAAATTCCATATATGATTTGCTACTAAAGATAATAGGATTTTTATATTTTGCAACAGGAGCAAATGTCTTAAGATAGTCTATCCTATGGGTTTGAGTACAACCCCTGGCTCAACCCCTAGATGGACTTGGATACAAGTCTCTTTATCAAGATAAGCATTTTTTCCTCGGATTGCTGCAAATTACAAATCTGATTTGCTGCTAAGGATAATAGGATGTTTACTATACTTATTTTTGCAACAGGAGCAAATATATCTAGCTAGTCTATTTGTAGCTTTGTGTATAATCCTTTGTTATTAACCTAGTCTTCTATTGTTCAAGTGATCGTCTATATCGTACTTCACATTAAATATATCTGTTTACATCTCACTAATTTTTCCTTGATGTAGCTCCACCAAGTCTCTAGTGTAGTTTTTCTCAAATATCTTCATTTCAATCCTCGTAGCCCTTTTCCACTCTTTAATTCCCAATTCTTCAGCGACAATATTTGGGATAGTATTAAGGTTGAGGTCGGAAAGAAAATTCTTATTGGCAATCAGTTAGCTTTGCATGACTCAATGTTGTCTTAACCTTAACAATGTCAAACTTTGTCTCTAAATCAATAATCTACAATGGTTGAACAGGGAGTTCTTTCCTTACTAGATTATATCTGCAATCGTCGTGTAGTACTTTGTTTGTCCTTTGCGAATTGATTGGGAAAGATGATTAAAAATACTTGGATTGGACTCACACGGTAAGGAAATTTGAACAAATGATGATGAAAGATTTTGATTTTGTGATGCTGGAAAGCTCAACAGTAGCAAATCGCTATCGGTATCTTTTTTATTGATGTCTACCCTCGAAGATAAGGATAATAATTCTTATTTTAAACAAATGGTACATCAACTGAGACAAGGAAACATTTTGTTGGTAAAAAATAACATCCTTTTTATGTGGAACCACAAACAGACAGTTAAGAGCCATTGGATTAAGTTTCTCATGATTATTTGAATGAATGTGAACAAATGATATACGGCCAAGGACCATTCGAATTAGATGAGTCTTTGTTTTGAAGTTTGGAAAAAAAATTTGAAACAATTACACGGGGTTATTACCAAGAGCTGTTTTAAGTCTGAACCTGATGTGGGCAATCTATTAATCAAATATGTAGCAGTTAAGCAACTTTTATTCAGAAGTATTTTGGAATATTGTTTTGGAATATAAGGTTAGTAACTTAGGATAATGGTAAGAAGATAATCATTTTTATTTTTATTTCTTTCCTTAGAAAAATAAGGACAACAATTGATTAAGATAATCCTTAGCACATCTCAAGCTTAATTTGATTTTGTAACTTGTGGAAAAAATTTAAAAAGGGTGAAACTAACATTCAAAATTTTTATTTAAAATAATGATCAATGTCGCAAGAGTACAATCATCACTAAAAGAGATAAACTAGTGAGCCCTAGAGATGTTGTTAGTAGAAACATAGTAGATGGTTCCCAAGTATCATCGTGATAAATTGTAAAAGGCATTAAAGCTCTTGTTTTACTTATTGGAAATAAAATTCTCTTCTATTTTGTAAGTTTACAACGATCGGTTAAACCAGGGAAACGCAACCCTAAAAAAGCCTAGTAAAATAACTCCAAGAGATGCAACCCTTAGGAAAACGAGAAAAAAAACTGTCCAGTCCTTCTTGCAGTGCTGCGATGCAAGTTTGGGTGATGCGGTACTCAAACCTCTGTCTTGACCTACTGCGGCACTATATCTATACAGTTACGGCGCTCTGCTCTCTTTTATTCAACGCTGGGGTGCTCGGGAATACAGTGACAGGGCGCTGTGGTATGCAGCGCCGATGCATTGTGCGGGAAAAAAATTTTCGCTAGGGGTAAAACCCCTCCAGTGTAAAGAACAAGCTTTGAGGTCTGAGACAACATAATAACCAGATTGATTAACAAAATCAGATTCCACACATAATAGGGTTCCTCCCAATAACTTTATAATTTTCCCAATAGTCATCTTCTAAGCTTTCTAGTCTTCTCAGCTTGTCCTTCAGCCCTTTTTCCAAGTCATTGACCTTAAAGAATATAAAGATATATAGGTGACACTATGTATAATAAAAAAAAAAAAACTCTTTTAAGGCTTAATCCTCACAAATCAAGAATATCGGCTACATTTTAATTACTAGAAATACACAGTTGTGATTGTACTGTTTTCCTTTCTTTGTGCTGTGGTATCGGGGTACAGGCAGTCCTTCCAGAATCCATTAACTCTTAACAAAACTAATTCAGTAGAAAAAAACTGTTAAACAGAGGACATAATCCAGTGAGAAAATTCCTCCAACAACTTCGAGTTTAATACTCATTATTAATTCAAATCACTATTCCAGGATGAAATTGTTTACATTTCTGTAGAAATTTTTTGACAGACATCACGAAACTGCCTTTAACTGATGCCCATTGTGGAGCCTACTTGGGTTCAATTTTCAATGTCATTTGTTTGCTTTCCTAACAATGATCTCTAGTCTAATATTTTTGTGGACCATTCAGGAGAAATCTCTGCTGGAACATAACAGTCTTTTGGAGAAGAAGGTACGCTCTTGTGATACCAATGAAATAACTCTTAAGCGTGAAATAAAGGGTCACTATTGTGATATTGCCACGCAGATCACTGAGAATGAATCAACCACAGCAATGACACAGGATACAAAGCGGAAACAACAAAGACAGGAACAAGAAAGCTCCTCGCCACCTCCCTTCATAAACGATATTCCGACCTTGAATTTAGGGTAACATGCCTCTCACCTAAGGAATATGAAAGCAATTTGATCTTACGCCAAAACTTGTCACTAGAGCAGAGCCGTGTGGAAAAAAAAAAACTAAGGAGTAGATCCAACATCGTTAAAAAATACATCAAGAATTTGAGATCTGCATGCCATCAGTGCAATTGAGACGTGATTTTGGCTAGCATCTTAAGAGAGATGCTTCTTTTTTGTTGAAATACAGGACATACCCGGTGAGCCATGGCGAGGAGGTTGCAGAGCCTCCTCTTACTCGGGTGAATAGCAACAGCCTGCCGCCATGGATGCTTCGTTCTATAACCCTGGAAGACAATGAGAGTTATGCTGCATGATGTGCCCGTTCCCAGGCGCCCGGCACTGTAGATTTCTTGAATGCGAGCTAATCAAATCCGGCTACTAAACAGCCCCTTTGTTTCAAAAATGATCGTAAGAAAGCTAAACTATTCTCTCTTTATTTTGAGCGTTTATGTCTGCTTTTTTCTGATATTTTTCTTAAATCACATTTCAGTCCCTCATGCATACATTAAATTTTCATTGTAATGCATAACTGTGGTATGTGGGCTAATTGTAGGCTTTGAAGTACCAAGAACAATATATATTGCGACTATTAATATGTAAATAAATTATAATTATTGTGCATTTATAACTGTACAATTTTATGGGTTGCCTCTTCTATGTAGTGCTTTCACATGGAGAAACTATTAGACATGAAATTTGCATGCAGTTTATATTGTTTTGTTTGTTGGGAATTATGATTACTAATCAAAAAATTTTGGGTTCGAAGCTTGTTGATGTGTGTGAATCTGTCTTTAATAGCTTAAATATTCATAAATAATAATATTAATAATAATTTGCACCTAACAAATCATAGGTAAGTAGATAAGTAATACTATTTTTTCATGTCTATAGAGGTGCAAAGGATCTAGAGTTTGATTGAATTTGTGTTATGTGCTCAGGTCATTCAAATTTTTATTTATTTGAAATTGGCTTTTGTTCAAAATCAATCATGGTTATGTGTGTGTGTTTATATATATATATAATCTTGATCAGGCACGAATCTTGAGGCAAAATAAAGTTGGAAACTTTCAAAATTAAATTTGGAACTATCCAAACTCCAATTTCAGCTAACTTATAGTTGAATTAAATGTCTCATAATTACAAACCCAACGACATCAAATTCAACACAATCCGAGTCCAAATCAAAGACCCGAAGCGTATTTGGAAAGCTCAAACCATAAATTGGATGATCAAACGATTTCCAAACATGACATGCTTATAGTCGAATTGAGTGGCTCTACAAGGCGAATCAAATGAGGTCAAGATCACTAGATTATGATATCATTAAGACATTCAAATGTCCAGTAAAATGTCTATGATCAAGGTTATTAACATCGGCCGTCCATTCAAATCACTCTCATCTTATCTTTGATCTTCCTCTTATTTACTGTCCATGTTACTCTAAGAAAACTGTAAATAAACCCATCATTCTTCTTTGGAAAGGGAAAAAGAGAAGGGACCCAAGCAAGAAATAGGAGGAAAGCAAGGAGGAGAAGGAATGGAAGAAAGAGAGAAACTAAAGTTCTCTTGCCACCAGACTTCTTCTTGACCATCGCGAACCATCAACTATCATCGGGCTTCTACACGGCCACCGACTGACACTGGACTTTTGTCCAACCACCTATTGACGCTGAACTTCTGCCCAGTCATCAACTAACGCTTAACTTTTGCCCAGCCACCAACTGATGCCTGACTTCTGCCCAGCTTCTGCCCGGCCACCAACTAACATCGAACTTCTACCCGACCATCGAATACGGTCTTTCTGACCACGGTCGCCCGTCAACTACAATCCTTTCGACCTCTGTCGCCATATTACAATCCTTTCGTCCTCTGCCTTCAGACAACAGTCTTTCTGACCACTTTCGTCCACTGACTACGGTCCTTTCGACCTCCGTCGTCATATTACGGTCCTTCTGACTTCCGTCACTAGACAACGGTCTTTATGACCACTATCATCTGCAGACTACAGTCATTCCGATCTTCATTGCTATATAATAGTCTATCTGACCTCTGTCGTCCGTCAACTACAGTCCTTTCAACCATCGTCACTTGCTACGGTCTTTCCAACGTCCGTCGCCCATCGACTATGGTCATTCCAACCAAACGAACATGTCAATAGTGATTTTTCCAATTTCCAACATGTAATGCACTATGTATGAAGTATATTTGCTACATCAAATTAAGACTTTCCCCTTAAGGAAGGTCCCCATTTGCAAATACTAGTGGATTCATTCAAACTGAGCTAGACCCCGTAATTTTTTTCATTTTCAGGATTTTCACGTAAAAATCTTGGTGTCTCTTATAAATGTTGCACCATTTCTTTTATTTGATTGACGTTAAACTTTATATTTCTCTATCGCCGCAAGATAGGACATGCATGATGTCCTATCTTGGTTAATGCACAATTGAACAAAGCTCTCTTTGCGTTCAGTTTGTTAAGAAAATGAGCTCAAAATAAATGCTCAATATTAATTCGCTTACTTCAAGAATAAATTGAATACGGGCTTCACAACACAACCTATTCATATTCAGATAACTCAAATTTTTGTTATTTGAAATCACTGTGTTTAAAATTATTTGCCAACATTGTGTTTGGCTTGTTCAAGTTCAAACCGGACAGCAGACTATTTTGAGCAGACGAAAATGAATGAAATAGTAACTCCTGTAAGTTTGAATTATTCTATTCAGCTGAACTTATAATGAATCAAATATTATTGAATAAGTTCTTGTTTGTGTTCGGTTTCTTAAGAAAACTGCTTAAAATAAATGATCAATTTTTGCTCGCTTAATTAACGAATAGATTGAATATAAGCTTCTTAGTTAGCGGAACAGGATTTATTTCTGAAAAACGAGCTTTTTTTTTCTTTTTCTTTTTGCAGTGCAATGTGTCCGCCTGCTCTCTTTTAAAAATTTTTGGGTTTTTTTTAAATGTATGTTGCACTCGCAAGGCTTCATGTATTCGCGGTTCTATTTTTTCTTCTTTCTCAGCAACAGGTTGAATGCTAAGCTGGCTGTCAGGATTAATTATTCTGTGCGGATGCTAAACGCCATCTGGAAATCAATCAGAATGTGTCATATCGCTCATTTTCTCGGTACTACTCGGTACTGGGGCTCGGTACCGCTGACATGGCGTATTCTGATTGGTCTCCGGATGGCGTTCTTTGTCTGCTCTCCACACAGAATAATTTATCGGGTGTTAGGGGGTTGTACTTGGAGAAGAGTGTATAGAAGCACTACAATTGGACAAATTAACACTATTATTCTGGAATTTATAGTCATTGGTACATCTGGGCTGCTCAATAAGGCTTCGTTTAAGATGGTTTTCTTCTTGTTTTTTAAAACAACTTTTTGTCATTCAAAAGTTGTTCCAAACGAAGCCTAAATTTTTTATTATTGAGGTGATTTGGCTCATGACGCCCTAATTATATAATAATAGTAGATATTACTTGAAATCACACGAAATATGACACTATGTGTAAGTTGATCAGCAACCAAAATGGGAAGAAACTCTGAAGAACATGGCTGGTATTCAATATTACCCATTAGGAGCTGAACGAGCCTAACATGAATGGGTTTTGACTAGGTTTGGCTTGGTTTGCTGATATAAAATTTAAGCACAGGTAAAAATAGTAAGATCAAAAAATTTTATGTGAAAAATTCAAAAAGGGAAAAATCATGAGTTCTGACTAAGTTGTAAAGTTCACTGTGTAGGAAGTGATATAAGAATTATCCTTTCTTCAATGTTGAAAAAGAGGGAGATTAAACAAATGTTTGATTATTCTTGAGAGATATTATAAAAATCAAAGTGTCTATGGAGGAATCATTAACATCCAATAATTGAACTTAATTTCTCGAATAGAGATTATATAAAGCAAGTGTTCATAGGCAAACAATTAATATACAATAGTTGGGTTAAATATTATCAATATTCTAGAGATTGTGGTGATTTTTTATACTGATCTTTAGCGATAACAATATTTGTCTACTGCAATAACTAGTGGTGGTCATTGGAGGCAATGGTTAGAAAATACAAGACAACTTTCTCTATTCTTTCTCCCCCTTATGTAAAGAATGAGGCTATATTTATAGTTTTTTAGAGATGAGCATTTTAGTAATTTGGACCATAATCCAAACGCTCCATCATACGGCCCATATTGATTTATTTGATCATGAAATATTTATTCAGCATTTAAGTGTATTAATGATGTCAAAATTAAGTGATCTTTGGCTCTTTGGATTTGCCTCATCGGGCCTCTCGATTCGACTATAAACATGTCTAATTTGGATATCATTTGGTCTTCCACTTAATGTTCGAAGTTTCTAATTATCCTTATGCTACTTGATTTAGGATCATTTATGCTTGAACTAGACCACTTTTGATATCGTTGAGTTCGTCTCATTGATACGTTCAAATCAACTATAAGTTCGCTGGATTTGTTGTTCATATAAATTTGAATTTAATTCCAGCAGTTTTCAATTCAAATTTTTACATTTAGATTCATGTTGATCATGCCTATTTTTTTGTAGATATATCAATCATCAAACCACTAAAAATAAGCCCAATAAAGAACTATGAAATGCATCAATAAATTTTGAATTGATGTTCATCATGAAATTTTGATTTCTGAATTTTTTTCATAGCATGTCTTTAAAATGAGCTATATGTGTATATATAGCCCATTTGAAAGATATGGAAGTATTAGTGTAAACCGGACTTAAGTCAGGGTATCTCCAACCGAAACTCATTTTTCACTGCAAAATGCAGTAAAATCAAAAAGTGTCGTGATTCATCTCCAGTGGAATGCCATTTTGCCTCCAAATCATCGTTCGTTTCTTTCGCGCCTTTCTCGGACAAGTTCGGTAGAGAGAAAGAAATGGCGCAAGTGAACAGTGCGACGCCAATATTGGCGTTGCACTGTTCAACTGGATCAAATGGCGGAAGAAATGACGTTTGGTTGCGACGTTTGAGAGCCTTCATTCAGCTGTTTGCCGAACGGTTGGAGATGCTCAGGTCTTCGAAAACAATTTTCTAAGGACTTACGTACCGTCCGGTATTTCAGATTGTGTGAGACCTTTTTATTTAGTTCACAATATCAATGTGATTCTCATGAGTCCCCGGTTTGTTTGGTAAATTAGTTAACGTAATAAAAATATATAAATTATTTAGTTTTAAAGAGATTATCTTCTGTAAAATTATTTCATAATTTATTTTGTGGAATAAAAACAGACATTACATTATAGATAATAAAACATGATAGTTTTAATACAAAGCTTAACTCTGTAAAAAGCTGAAGAAGAAGCAATATAAAGAAATTTACAGTGATGGGCAGAGTGGCATGGGGACCTAATTTAAAATAGTTCTATTAGCCGTCTCATATATATGGAATTTTAGAATACATTAAAATAGTTATATTTGTCACCTCATTATCAGAGCCATGATGAGATGTATAATCGAAATTAAGAATGCAAATAATATGATTATTAGTTCTTAGAAGACATAAATATCTATAGTTGTCTTTAAAGTTTTATTCTATGAAGATTACTAACAAATTTATTTTAAAAGGTATCTAGGCACAACAAATTTATTTTTGATGCTTTATGTTTTGAATATATCTAACGATTTAGGCTTCGTTTGAGACACTGTTTTTAAAGCAAT